ACTTTCCTCAGACCGTTACGGGAGCTTACTTGAGTGGGGTTCGAGAAGCGAGCAAGATAGCAGCATTTTAAGTACTGAAATTTGTGTTTATAGATATATTTTTAATTGTTTTCTGTGGGTAAAACTATCTTCAAGTTTCCTATTTGCTGCCTTTTTCCTAAGTGGTACTTCAATAGAATATGGTACCTGAAGATAAAATCTTCATCTTCCTTTTCCTCTTTCTCCCCCACCCCCCTTTTAAGCCCTGGTGATTACAGTATCGTTGGGTTTTTTTTCCAGCTAAGGTATTACTAGCAAGAGTGACATTGGAGTCCCTGGCCACAGCTTAACGCAACTTTTGCTGAGAGTCCTCTTCTGCATGGCTCAAGTCATGCTATTGTAAACCTTCATTTCAGAAGGTCAGACTAAAACAAGACTAAGTTAACATACAGCATTAAAAATGCTGACAGTTAGTAATGATGGGAATCTTCCACTAACTGTACTTCTCAGGTTGATTATGCTCATAGGAGTTCAAACTTGCTCCCGAAAGCCCGAATAGCCTACACAAATTCTAGAATTATTGTAGGAAAGAACTCAACTATCATTCTTTCCACTTGCAATCAATAACCTTTTCTATAATATTTTTCATATTCTTAGCCTCCACTAAGTGGGCTTTGGAATATCGAGTTTGTTCCTTTAAATCAGATGGCTGGAACAGTTTACAGTGCAATCATAGAAAGGTTATTGTAGCCAATAAAAACTTGAAAAAATAACTTTTACATTACTTTAAAAAACATTGAAATATTCTCTCTGCTACTTATTCAGAAAAATTCTTGTTACAATAATAGGCTAAGTCTAGATTTGCTTAGTGCTTCTGATCATGTAGAAACAGGACAGCTTAAAAATACTGTATTTCTACAGTTATTTGAAAACAAACTTCCAGATTCATTTGGGCTGAGTAGAGGAACTATCTACTGATATGAGTGTGCAGTGGGGGGTGAAGGACTGTGCATTCCTAACGGCTCATTCAGCTTTTATATTTAAAAAATAAGTGAAGATGAATGAGGAAAAATATTAACACTTTTATGAAGGGCTGAAACAAGGTGGCTTGCACTTTGACTTGAAGTTTTTTTTTTTTCTTTTATTATTAAAGTATTATTAAAAACAACTTGAGGGAGTAATTCAGTAAGGGCTAAGCATCTATCTAATACCTTTTCCATGGGTCAGGGAAGAAAATAAAATATTTTTCAGCAGAAATAAGACAGACACAACCAGGATAGCTGTTGTAATACCCTTACACTAAAATGGTATTAATGAAAAAAAATTAAAAGCAACTTTTAGATCTCTTTCCCCACACCTTCCCTATAACTTTACTGCATAGACCTCACAATTCCTGGAAGGAAAGTAGGCACTTATTCTTTTCCCCCTCATTCTCATGCATAGGCTCTTCTCTTTTTTTTTTTTTTTAATCTCTTCATTTAAGAATGACACAGCAAATTTCTTCTGCGTTACAGTGCTTATTTCCGTAAAGTTCTATCCTTGGAAAATAAACAACAAGCAACCTTAAGAAAAATCCTACTGAATAAACGCAACTCTTCTTTTTAAATACCTAATATTTTGGTTTTAGAGTAGCTATGATATTGTTAAATACCTTTATTTAATCTCTAATTTACAAGGTGAAGATGTTTATATAACTAGATGTTTTTCAGATATATATTCTGTTCTGCTTCTTAAAGCTGAATTATATGGATTAATAGGAAAAGTGTAACTGTTCATAATTTTCCTCTACATAAATGCTAATATGTACAGTTTTAAAGTATTTCCAAGTATTAAATTGTAATTTAAAGGCTATAAGAAGCAAGACAAAAATCCTCTGATGGTAAAAGATAATCAGACATCAGATTTTGCTTTTGGTAATCATTTGCACTTTGTTAATTTAATGTCAGGCCAACTTATAGCATAACTAGGAAAGAATGAGAGCTGCATATGTTTGAGTTCCAAGTTTCTTTATCATATATGACAAAATTATTGGTTAGAGGAGCTTCTGAAGGTGGGGAAAAAAAGCTTATTACTACAAGCCCAAAACATATTCAATGGCTGCTTCAGCTGACCTTGGTCAAAACTTCAGTCAGCTGAATAACAACATATAAACAAACACATCATATTTTAGGTAGGAACTGTCTGGAACGTTGAGCTCAGCATCCATTTCTGCAGTCCAAAGTTTTGTTTGAACATGCTTGATTTTAGGCATACGCTTCCATCCTATTAATTTGTACTTGGGGTTTTAAATCTATCTGCAACTAGATAAATCCTATATTCTAGAGAATAGAGGTGGACATGAACAAATACTGTCACACTTGACTTTAGCTGCTGCATGCTTCTTACAGCATTAAAAAAAGGATAACAAATGATAAATTCACCAATGGCCTAGTCTATTAATTATTTGTATATTATTTTGGTGCCAAGGCACTTAAACTGTGTTGTGCTGCACTTAAGTTTGAGGAGTAAATAAAATAAGTATGTTCCGTTTTAATTTACGTTCATTTGAAATGTATAAGAACATCAGGCTGGTTCTGAGACTTCATTCTTTAATTAATGTTCCCCAAAAATTTTTTAATACCTATGTTAAAATTTATTTCAAGCATGTATGTGTTTTTTATTTTGTGTTTAATTTAATCCCTGCAAATAAAGAACTGGGGAATGTGTCCTTTGAGTAGATTTGTTTAAATGTTATAAAAAAAATATTTGAATGCAGAGCATGATCTGTTACACTTCAGCTCTTCTGTGTGACTATGTTATGGCAGCAGAATAAAACTGGAAAGTATCCACAGGATGCTCATGTTTTGGCTGGTGTTTTTTCTTTAACTATTGGCTAAGCCTACTTTTTTGTTACATTTGATATTGGTTTAAGATTCTGTTTTAGCATATTCCTCCAACTAGACAACTCCTCAGAAGCGCTGCTCTGAGCTCTAAGTACTAACTTTGCTGTTATTTGGACAATACCATAATAATCACTGTCTTTTGCCTCAAAGGTTTACAAAGCAATTCATAAGCTTGTATCAGATTATGCTCCTTAGGCAGAGAAACCACCAGAGCTTAATCACAAATGACTTAATGCTTTTCACTGAATAATTGTAGTATGAACACTTTGTAGGATTGTGGTCCCAAAAGCTTCCTCCTAGCACAGATCACTGTAAGTATGTGCAAGCCTAACTACGTACCCAAAATACTTAAAATATAAACAATGACAAATTCTGATAACACTTACCTATATTGCTCCTCTTGAATGGGGGGGTTAGATGTTCATTTACTGTAAGTCTGACTACACGCAACTAAAAAAATAATATTCCTACTCCCTTTGAATGTTTATTTCAACCAGTAACACATGTAGGTCTGAACCAGTGAAAGCATTACTGTGGGGAAGATTCACTGCTTTCCCCTAACCTTGTCATATTTGATTAGCAGTTCAAAGTTTGCATCCCAAAGACATGCTTTGTTCAAATGCTAACTCCCTGCAGGAAATTATTTTTGTTACACCTGACACTGGTCTTGAAAAAATGTTAACTTCAGTCTAAGAATAACAATCATTAAAACAGAAACAAAATACTAATGCTGCTTTTAAAATAAAGTACAAATCAGTAGATTTCATCACACTCCCCCAATGAATGACAGTCCTTCACAAAAATAGTTGGTGAGGAATTTTTTTTTTTTTTTTCGGTTTAGCCCAGCTGTCTAAAACTTAGATCAGAAACAGAAATGAAGCAGCAAGTGTACAACTGAGTGCAGTCCAGTGAACAAGGCCAGGTGAAAAGGCAGGGCAAGCTATGTCACATTGCCATCCTCTTATCCCCAAGACCTTTGGAGATCATTTGGTTTCAGCCCCTACTTGGACCAGGGCCAGCATGGAGCTGGTTGCCCAGGGCCCTGCCAGGTTGAGTTCTGAACATCCCCAACAACAAGGGATTCCACAACTGCTCCAGGCCCCGTTTCTGTGCGACCACCCTCATGGTGAAGCTTTTCTTTCCCATGCAATTGCCATTTCCCTGGTGGCAGAGCTTGTGCCTCCCACCCTCTCGCTATGCGCCTCCAAGCAGAGCCTGGCCCTGCCTTCCCCATACTCCCCCATTTGGTGGTTGCAGAATGCAGTATGAACCCCCTTCATCTGTCTCTTCTTAAGGCTGAACAAGCCCAGCTCGCTCTGCCTCCCCTCCTACATCATGTGCTCCAGCCCCCGGCCATCTTGGTGGCCCTCCACTGCACTCGCTCCAGTATGTCCATGCCTGTCTTGCACCAGGGAGCCCAAAGCTGGACGCAGCGCTCCCGAGGCTGGCTCACAAGCGCTGAACAGAGGGCAACAACCGCTTCCCTCAGCCGGCTGGCTACACGCTTGCTGAACAGCCCAGGGTGCTCTCAGTGTTCCTTACTTATCACAACGGCACACTGCTGAACTGGGTTCAACTCATTGTCTGCGAGAACCATCTGCCCCTACCCAGGTAGGTAAAGCTGCTTAGAAAGAAACCACTGTCTCCACCGGCACTGCTGCAATCTTTACGCAGGTATTAAGGAACTCAATGTACCTTTCATGCATATCGTCAGATATGAGAAAACCAATAGCAACAGGACACATGTACAACCCGTATCTATGTTAACAAAAAACACATCAAGCTGCTGAACACAAGACATACACAGTGGGATATATAGTACTGGATCAATTATAAGATTCATGTGAAATCACTATAGAGGCACCAACAGAATTTTGCTAATGTTCTTCCTGCAGAAGGGAGAAATAGGCTGATACTTTCAGTTTATGTGCAAATAAAAGTATGCATATGTACACAACAGAAATTACATAAAGTATACCCAAACCAAGAATTTTTTTTTTAAATTACCGTTGCAAGGAAAGAAGTATCAAGGAGCAAGCCAACAATTCACCAAATTCTATTTGCTTTCACAATTAGGTGCAAAAGCTTGCTTTCTAATAAGCATCCCAGTTAAGTTACAAGACAACATATGATGAAAGGTTAAAAGCATTTACCTTTTCTAGAACTATTCTGATTTTTCTTAGTAGTGCTGCTATCTGCCTTCTTGACATTCGCACCCTTCACAGCTTTCTTAGTTTTGGAAGTCATCTTTTTAGATTTTTCTCTTTTAGATGCTTTTCTAGGGGGCTATAAAGAAGAAAAACAGAAGATTAAAATGATGGTTTCTACCCGAACAATCCATAGCCCTTTTCCACAATGGAAATTAGCCTTTCTCTCAATACAAACTAAATCAGCAAATTTAATTACTGTATTTCACTAGCAATTTCTACCCCTATACCATAGGGGGAGTAAGTCCACAAAGAGTATTCCTACATTCTTTTAAATTTCACATTGTCCTTCTACATGGACTCTTAAGCTCAAACAGTTAGAACTTTTTGATTATATTAGTTTGGTTGTGCTACAACTTTCCACTCTTAATTACTTATAATTAGCTTATAAAATAACTTTTAAGATGTTCCTTTAAAAAAGAACATGGTATGTTGTATTTAATTCCTTTTAGACGCTATAGTTGTCTAAGACTACATGGAACTAGTTCTTTTTGCACTAGTTGAGAACTACACTAGCTAATCCATAATTTGGCCAATTATTGTGACTAGTAAACCCAAAAAATTATTGCATTAAGTTAACATCAATAGAAGAAACTGGGAACATAAATGCATACGTATACACATATCAGTACACTGCATTTTTGGCACAAATTAAACGTGCTTAACACACAAAATCTTTAGATAGTATATCTCACAAGGCTGAAAACTTTCCTCACAGAAACAAACATGGAACATTGACCAGGAATAAACCATACTTCAGAGAAAGAACATCATGAAACAAAACAAAACAACTAACAGTAGTTACTAAATTCATAATCCTAGTTCATATTTAAAATGGCAGTGTAGTCAACTAAACAAACTATCACATCTAAACAATTAAGGTTAGTTCATATAACTTTTAACTGCTTCTCCCATTAGTACCTAGTGCAACTCATGAAACTAGTACTTAATAAACCAGATTATATTTATTTACATTGGCTTGCTCAGTTACAGCTGCAGTCACTCTGCAGTGTTAAATGAAGGATAAAGACTTTCACTGTTGAAATTCAGGAAATACACTCAAGCATTGCCCCATTTCTAAATAAACGTTGGTAGTTTCTAACTTTTCGGCTTTCAAGTTTCTGATAGAGCTCCATTACCAGCTACAAAGTCAGAAGTTAAATCCAGCACTTAACATTTCAGGTTTTTTTATAAAACTATGCTCCCCCAGCACACAAAAATATTTCTGATATCTTTTGCTTCCAGGTAACTGTAAGATTTTTTGTTTGTTTGTATTGTTTAAAGAAAGAGTTGCAGTCGAGAGAGACAGAACTCTGAAGACAATCTATTCCAGCAACTCCAAGCCTAAGATTCCAACAGAGCTGGGGAAACAAAACAGCTGTGCTGCCTATATCCTTCCACCTGCAGTATGTTAAAGGGTGTCATAAAACCAACTTTTTTTTTTAAATGCTGCAATCTTAAAGCTGTACAAATGCAGACATTTTCTATTTCACCATTTCCTATATTCAGACTAATCTGACATATTAGTGTTTTTGTAATAATTAAACTTTTACTCCATGCAAGTCAACTTCAATTTCCAAAGACTTCAGTTGACTCAGCTATTGCCTGGCAGACATATCTAACTCCTACCTTCTGAAAGAAGGCAAAGACCACCCAGTTAGATCAATGGAGTTTACTGTGAGGTTTTTTTGTTTGTTGGTTTTTTTTTTTTGTTTGGGGGGTTTTTAAAAGAGTTCTTGGAAAAAAAACTTCTGTCTCTGAAAGCAATATTCCTCTCCTCACGCTAGGAAGACTGCATTGCTGAAGAGATGACCAAATGTAAAATTAACTTCTAGTATTTCAGCCCTCTTTCAATTTGCCATCTGTGGGGAAAGAAAAAGGCAAACTAAGAATTAAGTTTATTTCATAGAGGCATGGGGAATTTCTTTGACCCATCTTTTTAAATTAAAACTAATGCCTATCAAAATGACACTGACAAACTGTTAAAGCTACATTAATTGGTCTTTCAACAAAAGATTTTTGTTACTATTTGCTATAGCTCAGTCTATTTAGTTAACAGCCTGTCACACTTCCACTGCAATGGACGGAATGTAACCCAAGTAAATAATGGTCTTACATTACAGCCAAAGATTCCATAGCTTACATAAAGAACTTCCTTGGATACCAACAGTCAAATAATTGCTGCTTGTTGCAGGGCTCCGATTAAGACTAAAAAGGCAGTCCCATCTAAATTAAAATATAGGATAAGATGGAACTTGTAGCTCCTTTTCATTTCTTTTTTCCAGGCTTCAGACATACGGACAAATTCAGTGTACACTTTGTACACAAATCGGCTGTACACTTGTACTGGCCCTCCATGTTTTGTGTCTATTCTGTGATAGTACAGGACTGAAGGAGAATGCACAGGGAAAGGTATTTCGCATTTAAATACAAAGTTCATCTCATTTCTCTCTTACTATGCAAGGCTAAAAGAAGTTTCAAAGAAAACAGAAGAACAGAAAATACAGCAAGATGAGAACTCTTTGGAGATTGCAGGGATCTTTGTAAGGCTGCTTACTATGTTGCTCACTTTATCTTTGCGATCCAAGACACAGAACCCTAAAAGAGAGATTAGGACATAAAATCCAGGAGAAATATGGAACCAAGATCCAAAAACAATGCAGCCAGGTAGGTCAGGGACCTCTACTGAATTCAAAGTTGAGTCCTAGGTATCCAATCAAACCCTACACAGAAAGAAAAGATAGATAGATATTGGGAATTTTTATGAAATTACATTAATAAAGTCATCACAAGATGATACAAGTGCAATCAATTATGTTTGAAATCCTGGATGCCCCAAAATGATATATAGCACACAGTTTATAAGGTGCATATATACTTCCAAGAATCAGAACCTTTGCCTCTTACTGATTTTCTAACTTTAATGCACTAAGAAATTATGAAAATCTCTTATAAGTTGCAGATGTGTTCTCTTTTCTTTCAAACCATTCATTCAGTTAAACATCACTTACCCCCCAACTCTGCGCATTCCAAGAATTACCAATCGGTAACAACCACATAATGACAAATGTTTTCAGCCCTATGTTGAAAAACAAACAAAAAACCCCTTCATTACCTCATCTTCACTTTCTTTTTCTTCTGAAGAGTCATCCTTTTCCTTCTTTTCATCTTCTTCACTACTGGATTCATCTGACAAGATCTCTGGGCACTTGGTGCGTTTTGCTTTCCTTGTTGTTCCAGTGCTACTGCGTTCTTTTTTGCCACCTTTGCTTGGTGTTTTTTTGGACTTTGGCAATGGCTGAGAGGCAGGGATGTGTGTTATCCAAGTAGGAATACAAAAGTGAATTTTAAAAATTTGTATACTCCTTCAAATCACATGACAGAACACTAAACAAATATAGAGGTCTCCAAGTCTTGATAACAAAAATCAGGACTATTTTTATGTACTACACTTAAGCCATAACATTTTGCGGTAAGCAAAAATTCTTTACAGAGATGGAGCAGAGTAAAATGAAATTTCAGTTCTAAGCTAAGTACCCCTTCCACTCCCCCAATCAAACAAATCTTCAAAGGTCAGGGGTTAGGGAAGGGAAGCAAGAAAGAACAACCTAGAAGGAACCTTTTCCCTACCTGTGCCCTCCCAACCCATAAAAGCAAGCTTTTTCTGCTGGTAACAAATTAGCTGACAACTCTACAAAAGACTTAAAGGCAGGAATTCTGGCACATCTTATGCAAACCTGCGCTTTGTTGTCACCCAGTACCAGTGTCCCTAAGGCAGCATGCAGACTCCTTGTTCACATCACTTACCAGAGTTTGCTGGGAATAATCTAATTTCCTGAGCAATAGTAGCTATTTAAGTATTGCTTTTAGATTAAAAACTGGAAGTCCAAGAAGATTAGTACAGAGTTTAGTAGTCTTGGCAGCTGAATTTCATGCACTAGCATATACCAGTTAAAGCAAGTTTTCCCGGCCTTGCAACAAATTCCATTTTGTGATGACCACATGTGATCACATACACTTGTCAACTTGTAGCATACCCAGGTAACATCTGACAGCTTATTTTCCTGTCCTTCCATGTTTTATTTCCTTGCCCTGACACCTTTTTTTTTTTTTCTTTTTCTTTCCTCCTCATGTATTATGTCTATTCCCCTCCATTCACCCACAAAGCAGAAGCTATTTCTGGTATTTGAGTATGGATATCTCTAATTAGCTTCATGTGTTGACAACATATGCTTTTGTGCACTAACAGTGTGTAATGGGTGCACTTACATGTAAGCATATGGTTTCTAAATCCTTACCGCATCATGGATGCCTGCAGGAGAAGAGCTACTCTCAAGAAGCCATTGCTACTTCAGGAAGTTAGAACAGTAACTGTATCACCACGGGTAACAAGCACATAATCAGGAATAGAGACAGCTGCATTTTTCATCAGAACAGAGCTATAAAAGCAAGCACAACAACCTGCATCTCACCTTGCCCGAAGATTTTGGGTGCATTAAGAAGTTTAAGATTCTGGTTACCAGCTCACTATTAACTCCTGATCTTTCCAAGTCAAGAACTTCGCAGATACTTTTCAACATTGCATTTCTAAATCTGGAGAGAAAAAAAAAAAAAAAAGAAGACGAAAAAAGATTCAGTATCACATCCTAAACAATTGGTCCACATTTGACTGCTAGAAGCTGCTATCCGGTTTGTGTCTGCGACCTGACAATAGACATGAATATATACACTTAACTAGGTTTCCAGTCTTATCTATAGTTAAGCAAAGAACCACCACCATATTACATAAAGCAAAATAAAAGAAAATTCCCAAATCCACATATGTGTAAAGTAGGATATATTAAAAACATTATAAAATCTTACTAAAAAAAATCTTCCCCAGAATCTCTCCTAATCTACCACACTGGAAAGAACCAATCTTGGAAAATAAATCCAGCAGGTACAAGACTTGAACTCTAAGGGGGCAGGAGGTCTCCCTTGTTTGCTCTGGTTCCCTACTCCTTTACAGAAGTACCTCCAATGAAGAAGATAGAAGGTTAAGAGAAACTCTGACATCCACCCCCTTTACTCCAACAGGATCTTGAACCAATTGTCCCACTTGATCGATTTGTCCCACCGGTATTGAAAAAAGTGGAAAGAGTCAAATCCTGTGAAGGCATGACATAAGAATGCAAGCTGAGCGAGATTTTAAAAAACAAAACAATCCCCTACTTACTCTACCTGTTACCTCCCTTCAAATGCTTACAGCTTTCCTCTTCACTCATTTTGTACAATGCTGCCTGAAAAGTGGATTTCATTGTCTGACCATTTTTCACAAGTTTAATAGCTACTTCTGGTAATCAGAGTCAAAGGAAACTTATTTTTCATTGTTTATTTAAAAAGTCAGTGCAACTATTTCATGGTGGCCTGCAACTTCCCTAAAGTCGCATTTAATTTCAGACTGCCCCTTTAAACTCACAGACTTTTAAGGGGGCAGAACAACTTTGCTCTCACACGTTTTAGGGCATGGGGACAGGAAATCTTAACTGGTTTGGTGCATCTCCCTGCCTCAAAGTATAGTTCACCCACCATCCTTCCAATGATGAAGTCAAATCTTTCAATCATTTTTCTAGACGAGGTTATAAAAAAAATTGTGCAATCTTAACATGTGGAGAGCCTTCCTGTTTAGCTTTTGGGGATACACTGAAGACTTGTAAGGTACTCCTGCAGAATCAAAAGTCAGTCTCTTACATTTTAAAAGACAGTAATACTATAGAGTTAACACCAATTAACTTGTTAACAGATTTAAAAACTGTGTATTTCTGTTTCAAACTTCCAAGACCTTGTATATTGAATTTAGGATTTTATGGTTCTATCGCTGCTTTAACTAAAATTCCTTATAACTTGTGTTACACATGGTATTTGTCCTTGTATTTTAACTTAGGTTAGAAATAATACATACAAAGAATAAATACAGCCTCCCAAATCCTTTCATATTTTTAATGCTTTGAAGGTCCATCTGCAGGTAACAGCAAACATAATGCACTAACTATTAAAATGCAGTTCAAGTGTGGAATAAACAAGTGCATGCAAGTTTTCAGTGAGTAAATTCCATAGCAAGTAGTTTTGACTTACAAAATCCAAGAACTCTAATCCACACAGCAACCTCAACCCTCATTCTTTTTACTGTATAACCTGAACAGTAAGATTCTGCAAATAAGTTTTGTCCTTTGTTCATCTTATTCAATGCTGTTAAAACATGATGACATGCAAGTGTACAGTGTGGGAAGAAATCAACCACATAGACTAAATTAAAAATCTAATCAGCAGTGTTTTATACATAGCTATGAAGAGCAGCAGAACTTACTACAGCAATACAAGCACACAGGGCTCAGTATGTTGACAGAAGAGTGACAACACAATCAGTTTTCAGAATATTTGTTGAAGACTGAAGGGTAACAAAACTTAACTAGCAGTTCTTTCATATGGAAAATATGAAAAAAATGCGCAAAAATACTTTATTTTGTGACCTTTAGCAAATAAAGGGAAACTATCCAATTAAACCCGTGGGAAACAGTCAGAACTCCCATCCTGAGACAGAGTTTGTCTTGTAGATTCACATGTATTTGACAAACCCTATTCCTAGAAAACTGCATATCTGAGGAAGATTTGCAAGTTTCAAATTCTGGAAGCCTTCCCATTATCAAACTGACACTAAAAAAAAACCAATTTAAAATAAATTGTGTAGAAATTATTAGTCCTTTCATTCATTACAACTAGCTGCACAAATATGCAAGGGCATCTTTAAGCTCTTTCAGTCCAGTCAAAACCAAGCTGCAGCAGCTTCTCCTGTTTAATAGAGAAGCAGCTTATGTGGGGAGACAGTAAAAAAGAGGAAAAAAAAAAAAGAAAGAAAGAAAAAAAAGACTTGTTAGACTAGTTGCTACAGCAATTCTAGGAATAAGACTGTATGTTTAATATACAATAAGCAGAAATGGCTTTGATTCTGAAGGAGGAAGGTTGAGGCATAGAAGGATGCAAGTTTGCACTGTGAAGAGAGCACAATGTATTCACAACACTATGCCTGTCCCGGGGAAATAAAGTTTTCCTCTCACTTGGCAGAAGAATCTGCTAGTTAGCATGCAACAGTTAAAGCCAGGACTGTAGGAAGTATGAATAAAATGTTCACAATTTAACTCTTTTTAATATATTTCAAGTTCTCTTAAGAGATCAGTTTGTGCGATCAAAATGAGCTCAGAAACAGATCATAGAGCTCTAGGAAACAGCCACTCAGCTTAGAATTTAAATTTATCTGAAGTAAAATTTTGAAAATAAAAAGGAGAGTATAGCATGAGTCAAGCTATGTTAAGTAGCAACAGAGATCATTACTTTTTTAACATTTCTTCCTTTTTTTTGTATTGGTCACTTCCTTTTTCAAATGGGAACCCGCTGAACTGACCCACATTCTTCTTCAGGGAAGCAACCTACAACAAAACACACAGATTACTTTCCATTGCAAGTAGTTTAAAAGATTTCATCCAATTACATTTGTTAATTTTTCATACAAGAAAAATCCATTCTAGCAGTTAGCTTTCTGTTGCCAAAAAGTTACACCATTTAAGTTATAACCTACGTGGATTATGCCTTTATCTCATGACAGCCAAACTACAACAATTAAGTTCTTGTGATCTTGGTACTTTTAATTCTTTTTAATAACTTACCAGGTAAAATCACCTGCCATCTCAAGCTTGTTTAGAACATACTGCACGGTTATTTACAGGTTTGCTCAACTATGATCAAAGAAGCTTGTTGCATGCTTTGTACCATGTCATATGTTATGGAGTAGTGCATTTTATTTTCACTATATAATCTGCTAAAGCAGATTTGCTTTATTTGCTTTTCTAAAGTCTTACATAGGACCATGATGGTACTTTTGAACCTTTTCTTTCGCATGACCAATTTTTGCATTTACATACCACCCAATTTACAACTTCCACCATTACACCTGCAGTCTAAACTTTCATTGTGACAGGCCCTTACAATGGGAAAATCGTTCCCATTAAGATCCCAAATAGATTAAGTTCTTTGTTTTCACTCCATCTCCTTTTACCAAAAAAATAAGTTAAAAAACATCCCCAAATCTTTTATTCTTTAAGATCTTTATAAAACTATTAAGAATAATTTAAACTCACTTTCAATAGTCCTACAAATTTCATTCCTGGGTTTCTCTATGAGTTTATAATTTTACCAAAGCTAAGCTGCTTTTCTAAAGGTAATTGTCTTTGTCCAGCACCTAAAGAAAACTTGCAGAATAACAAGAAAAATTATGGGCTTGCTCAGCTGGTCCTGCAATACCCATCTTCTAAGTAGATTGTAATAAATGACACTTAAGAAGTAGATCCATATATGAAAATGTAAAAAACTATACTACAAACATTTTCACTATGCATGAGAACTAATAGATACACAAGATTGATTTTAAGTTCTTACAGTGCCTGGCCTGTTGTAGAGGAGTTTGTGCAGGTTCCTAAGTTCATCTGTCTTCTTTTTACTCAGAAAGAATTGTATCCTTTCAATTTCACAGAGTTTCTGTCCTTTTCCTGAAACAGTTAAAATCAATTATGCAATTCATCACATTCATATTTACCTATGTGTTTGTAACTTCAAATATGTACCGCTTTTTAAAAAAAGCAAAGAAGTTCTTTCAGAATAGCATCAGACATTATAATAGGTCAAACATTAAGCAGGCTTTTTCCTATCCATTAGGCATCCTGACAGTCTTATCATCTTCCTTACTTGACACTGCCTAGACCAGGGTACAAGGATGTGGCATTTCTTTTCACTCTAGCTGCTCCTGCCTAGTGGTGGCTAGGTACTGAAGATCCTATTCCAGATAAGTTTAAACATGATATAACTTTTATGGTTTAAATTGATGCTACAGAATAAAGGAGGCGTTTCATAAAATTATAGTAGCCTTATACTATTTTAACATGGATCATGACTCTTAAGTTAGATCTCAGCTACAACAAATTAATAATCTGATCTTTTAAGAGGTTCCGTTATCATTCCAACACTCACAATTCTTAGGTGAGAGGACAAGCTTACCTGGTGTAATTGTAAAAGGTTCCTTTTGCAACGAGGACACCTGCATGGTCAGTCGGTCTACCTTTTTTTTCTCCCTTTTTCCTTCAACAATGAGACTCTTTTCTGCAAAAGACAGCTTCCTTAAATACAGTATTTTTCATTACATGAGCAGATTTGACTGTAGTGACAGGCAACACAACACTTAATCTTTGAAATGGCAAACCAAAAATGGATAACGACATAACCACGTACTATGACACTTTCAAACCTTTCACTAATAGGTCAATGGGATTCTATGGAGCTATATATTGGAGTCTCTAGTTCTTAATCACAATCCTGCATCCAACTTAACCTTGAAGACAAGACTGGGCATTTCCTAAAGGGAACTTTACCCCACAACGGAGACTGCAGCACTACGCATTTTCAGAAACCCATCCCTCTCTCCCTTGACTGCCTTTCTGAGGTACAGAACTGACACTGTTTGCAGAGTCTTCTCTGGGATGCCCCAGCCCCTACATGCACAGCCCCACTTTAGCTCTCTCGGGGAGACTACTACCGCCACATGGGGAAAAAGAGAGTCCAGTGTGGCTGCAGATACTTTCTCTTCCCACTATCAGACTGGAGGACCCACACGTATCAGCAAGGAGAGGCAGAAGCACAAGCACACTGTACAACACCCCACAGGGCTACGCAGTGCAGCACTCTGCAGGGCACAATATGAGTGTCACAAATACTACAAGAATACTATTCTCAGTAATTCTGATACTGCTTAGGAATGAATATATTTAGATTGTTTCACGTATACACTGCACATCATTACTTTAATGATACCGTGTCAGGAGAAAAACCCAAAGCTTCACCTAAACATATCATACTAAAATACTTTACCTCAAATTAAACTATCCTTAGCGCTAAGCGGATGGGCTATCCTGGCTTTAACATCTGAAAGCAGCTTCAAAATCTGTATGAACATAATCAAAACTAGGTATGTATCTGATGAAAACAGAGCAAAACATGCTTGTGTGTACACAAGAAACAGTTTTTCCTAAAAATGTAATTACTCTAGTTTCCCAAACAGCATAATCTCTTTTCTTTCTACTACTTTTGCTAAAGACAAACTTCAGCTCTTTTAAGAATCAAAGGCCATCAGTGACTTGGTTTTTACTGTGCCACTCTGCAGCTCTGTTTCCATGGATGCTTTCATTTGCAAAACAGGTGCCTAGAGATTTCACGATGGCATTTTTGCATAGTAGTTCCTTCATCACATCTTGTATTCCTCTTCAATTAGATGCCACAACACAAAACCTGCCTTGCTTGCTCCTCCTATATTGCCACGATTTTTATTGACAAAATCAGTCAAATGGAATAACCCCCCTTCCAATGTAATTAAATTTTGTACCCAGTAAATTAATTGACAGTAGTTAACTAAAGACATCTGTATTGTTTCCAAAGCTACTGCACAGATTTTTCAAGTTTCTCTCTTTTGAAAACATGGATCACTTCAGAGTGTTACTGGCAAAACAGGATTCTTTTTTGGATATGCATTTTTGTACAAATAATTTGATAAGGGATGTTACCTCTTATAATCATCTAGCAGTTTATACAACAACCAAAAAACCCCTGGTGTAGGAATCCAGGATGCTGGCAATTCCTTCAATCTTTCCCGAGGAACATCAGTATTGCTGTTGCTAGTGTTGCCTGTTATAGTCTACTGGGAAGCGATTTATGACCCATGAGATAGATGTACCATGGAATCGCCTAAACAATAATTACACAATTAGCCAAGATCACAGGAGACTGCATTCTTGCAGTTTTGGAGAGCCTGGCATTTTTTAAAGGACAACTTATTCAGTGGAAAAACATGTACCCTTTTCTTCCTCCTCCTCTTCTTCCTCTTCTTCATCTTCATCACTTTCCTCAGCTTTGTTTTCAGTTTCAGGTTGTTTCTCATCTGCTTTTTCAGATGACATTGTATCTTCTTTTGATGAAACAACAGAAGACATGGTGTATGGTTCTGTAAAAAGCAGTCAGGGAAACTATCATCAATATAGCATTATATATGAAAAATAAAGGAATCTTGCTTTTTAAAAAAATCATTTTGTACAGCAGAAGTAATGTCACAGTGCTCATATTACGATTGTTCAAATTCTTTAAGACACTAAAGTATTCTACATACACACAATACATAAAATTTTTCAGGAGGAGTTGCCACCCATTCTGCAACTACCCTGATTAAGAACAGTTTAAAAGGTTATCAATTCTTTCTACACGTGAGCCTTCAAGCTTGCTTTGTGAAGCACTGAGAAACACCCGCTAAAAGCAGCTGATGCTGTTATCTCTTAAGGACTGCAGTGTTTTAAGACATCACAATTTTAGTGCACCATGTTATAAACTGAATAGTTATTTCTGATCACAGTTAACTATGCAGACAAGTTTCCTAATAAGTTAAACAAGCTACATATTTAGATGGGAAATGGGAACAGAAAAATAAACAATAAAAGTTACAAGCAATTCAGAAAAAACACTGCTTTCAGAATTCAAACAGCTGTGACATCTTAGGGATTGAAAATGCTTTTTGTTTTTAATCTGCAGATCTACAACAAAAAGGAATAAATACTTCATATTTAGCATATTTAAGAGAAGTCTTTTCTTAGCATTTGAAGTAGCTTAAACATCAACTTCAAAATCAAAATATCTAACTTTGGTGAGTGCCATTTCCGTAGTGACAGAGAACATCTATCTAAGGAAGTTAACCATATCTGTTCATTTTAGAAACATTCTAGCTTTCAAAATCTTTCACTGTTTACAGATATGGAACAAAATACATCATCAGTTGTATAAGCCCTTGTGCAAAAAACATCACATGATTAACCATTTCCTTTTTCCAATGTTAAAGCCAATATTATCTGCAAGAGGTCAGACTCAATAAACAACAATGAAATCAACTGTTTATATGCAATGTTAGCAGGTGCCAGAGAATAGCAGCACTCCAAGTGACAGAAAACACGAGTTATATTACCAATAGGCAGGGGAAAAGAAAGTTTGCTGCTCTTTGCTAAATCATTGGAGGGGAAAAAAAAAAAATCTCTTTCAGGTTATTACTACCAGCACTTCATTTGTCACAGAGAAGTAAGCCAACTTTTTCACAATATTACTCTCTGAATTTTACTTGTCCACCTAAGTAAAAAACCAAGTGAAGTACTACACGTCGTCTTTCCTTCCCCTTTCAATGGGAGCAGAAAGGCAATAGGACTTTCTAGGTTTTCAGCAACGAGGTCCATGAGGACAACTTGCTTAGGGAAAAAGGTACAGGGATCCACCTTTAGGAAGGCTTAACTCGGGGATATCTTTGGCCGGGAGAGAGTGTACCTCATAAGCCGCCCCAAGAAGGATACTCGTGCACAACAGCACCTTCCACCGCCGTCCAGGACTTTTCAGACACGGACTCG